AAAAGAAAACTTAACAGACTTGATTACAAAATTGGGTTAATTGATTTAACAATGCACAACAGTAGAGAGAAATATACATAACACTAGTTGGACACCACACTTAAAATTCCACAAACTGTAAAGTATGAATGATAAAGAGAAAACCCCCAGAGATTGAGGTATTGAAGCTCACATTTTAAGACAAAAGCATAGAATAAAGTAGACGAAACCAATTATGAGCTGATACTAATCTTAGACAGCAATATCCCCAATAAAAATTTGGCTATGGATACGTAAACACATCACTATATCAGTATCCAGCTTCTTCTTCAACAACAGCTGTCAGTTTTTCTTCTTAAAGCACACATACACATCTCGCCCTTTGCATCTGAAACCCCCATTTCTGTACTAATTTGTTCACCCACCACACAATGACAGCTGTTTACACAAATTTTAGGCACAAATTGGTAGATAGCATTGTAAAAGAAATATAAAGAAAGTGAATTGCAAACCAAAAACGAAAACAAACCCAAATTACAAATCATATTAGCAGTTAAAAAGAGCAAATCTTTCGTGGTTTAGAGTAATTACCAGAGAGAGGAAGCTGAAAATAAATTACTCCGATCCTTAAAACTTCAACAGCTCCGATCATTCGGTCTTGAGCTTCAAGATTGTACAAAAACCACACGATCTGATAAGTGAAACGAAATTTCTTAAGGAAGAAGAAGAAATAGCGTAACTTTTTGGCAAGACAAGACCTCTTCAACTCTCACTCAGTCAGTCGTTGGAGGGTGGAGATGAGGATTGGAAGAAAGAGACGTTCGCGAACTTGTAAATCGAATTTTGTGTGTGCGCTCGCACGCCTCACATCGTATCCAATCACCACCGTCCATCTAATTTGATCATTCTACCTAACCCCACACAGCACTATATGGCGCGTCAATCATAACTTACTATCATCTTCACCGTACAAACAATGGGGCCCGCGTTTCTACTTTAGGCCCTAGCTTTTGTCGCCAAGGAGGTCGGTTTGGGGCATCTGGGCCGTCCAATCTCTACCTCACTACAACGGCCTTTATGGGAGTGGGCCCCAACCCTAGCCCTTTTTTGGAAAACTTCTAGCTGTGAATTTATTTTTTTAAGAATACTATCACTGTAGATTTACCACTAGCGCCCATAACTCCAAATGTGCAATAAAATATCATTTAGCTTATGTAGTCCAATTTTCTAAAGAAAAAAGGACTCAAATTCTCATTCCTTTTTCTTTGTTAATGGGTCACACCTATTAAAACAAAGATATTTGTTAACGTGTAAATACACATACATCAAAAGTCATTTCACATGCAAGTAGGTAGAGCTGGCAAACGGGTCGTTTTAGCGGGTTCCGGGTTGTTAACGGGTCAACCCGTTTTCTTAACGGGTTGACACGAACACGACCCGTTAAGTTAACGGGTGACAGATACTAGACCCAAACACGACCCGTTACAATTCGCGAATATCCGACACGACCCGTTAACCCGTTAAGAATAAACGAGGAAAAAAAAAAAAAAAAAAAAAAAAAAACAC